GGGCCTGTTGCGCGCCCACCTCCGCATTCCTTCGAAGATCCACGCACCATGAATCCCCTGCGCCTCCTTTTCATCTTCATCGCCGCCGCCGCCGCCATCACGGCGCCTCGGAGCCGGACGTCGTCGCGCGTGCGCCCGAGGATACGGACGACGCGGCGCGCGGCGCCCCGGAAAATGAATCGGTCCAAGGCGCGCCCGAAGATACGACAGCGGCGACAGCAGGCGCGCCAGAAGTCGCAGCCGGCGAAATGGTCCGCGGAGCACCGGCTCCGGTCTTCGGCGGGCGCCGCTCCCGTCGAGCCGCGCTTCGCGCCCCTGCTGCGCAGACTCGGCTACTACGGGGCGCAGAGCTGACGACGTGCCAGGCAGCGCGAGAAGCATCCGCCCCCCACCTTCGAGTGCCCGCGCCGCTCGCGAGGGTAGGGGCCGCGGCCGCCTATCACTGGGGGGTCGCTTCCTCTAAAACGTCGCGGCAGGCTCGGCGGCGGCTGGGCCGCGGCGGACATGCCATCTTCTTCCGTCTAGCTCGCACGTGGGGTCGTCGGAGAGTTCGCTCAAGAGGCTGCGAACGCGCCAACGAAGTCGCCAACGCCGGCATCAACTTATGGATACCGACCATGTTGGCTTGCCAAGAGAGAAACCGATCGGAGGCAGCCCCAAGCCCTCGGCGCCCGACTTCGGCGGCAACACCCGGCTCCGTTTCGGCGCTCGCGGCCCCGGCGCGCCGTCGGCGCGCATGCGCGGCGGGCCGTAACGCGCCCGCGCCGCTCCGCGCCCGGCCGCGCCGCTCCGCGGCCGCCGCTCCTCCGGCCGCCCCGCCTCGCCGCGGCCCCAGACCGCCGGCGGCCGTTTCCTACCATCGTCCGCGGCGCCAAAGTCGCTGCCGAGGGTCCGTCGCCATGGCCGACGGCGAGGCCGCCGGCGCGCCCGCGCGCGCCGAGGTCAACATCAAGAGCCCGCCCGCGCGGCCGCCGCCCGCGCGGCCGTCGCGCGGCCTCGGGACGCTCTCGAAGCAGCCCGCGGGCGAGTCGAAAGAACCAGAAACAAACCGGCGGCGCAGCGTCATCGGCGACTTCGCGTCGAACATGCGGCGGCGCACGTCCGTCGTCACGCGGCGGAATCGCGAGCTCTCCGCGGCGCAGGACGCGGCGAGAAAGATGCGGCACATGGAGGCGTCGACGTGGACGATCGCGCCGGACAAGAGCACGTGGGTCCAGAACTGGGACGCGGCGCTGTGCGTGGCGCTGGTCTACACGGCCATCGTGACGCCCGCGGACGTCGCCTTCGTGCACGACCGGAGCCGGGTCATCCACTTCTGGCCGTATTTCGTGGTCGACATGTGCTTCACGCTGATCTTCATCTTCGACGTCTTCCTCCAATTCTTCCTCCACTACCAGCTGCCCAAGGACAAGGGCCTGCAGTGGGTGCGGAACCACCGGCGCATCGTCCGCCACTACCTTTTCGGGTATTTCGGCATCGACTTCGTGTCGTCGATCCCCTTTGGGATCCTGGAGATGATCGGCGGGTCCATCTTCGGCGACCTCGCGGCGGCGCGGCTTTTGCGGCTCCTGCGCCTGGCGAAGCTGCTTAGGATCATCCGGACGAGCCGCCTCATCACGCGGTACCGCGCGGACCTGTCGGTGTCGTACGGCATCATCCACCTGACGTCGTTCATCATCGCGACGGTGCTCTTCAGCCACTGGCTCGCCTGCGTCTGGGGCTACTGCGCGAACGCGAGCAGCCGGGGCATCGGCAACTCGTGGATGGCGGCCTTCGAGGAGTCGAAGTGGAACATCCGGAACCCGAAGCACCAGTACGTCATCTCGCTCTACTTCGCCATCATGACGCTGACGACCGTGGGCTACGGCGACGTGTTGCCCAACAACATCTCCGAGTACGCTTTGATGATCGTCATGATGTTTTTAGGCGGCTTCATGTGGGCCTACATCATCGGCTCCGTCTGCGCCGTCACGGCGACGCTGGACATCAAGAAGATCGAGCACCAGCAGCTCTACGACCAGATCAACAACATGCTCGTGGACCTGGCCATCACGCGGCCTCTCGCCTGCGCGGTGCGGTCCTTCCTCTTCCAGACCGAGGAGATGGAGCGGCGCATCGGCTACAGCGCGCTCATCGACACGCTGTCCCCGGAGCTCCAGGGCCTGCTCAGCGAGGAGATCTCGGCGAAGCGCATGGCCTCCGTCAAGTACTTCGCGGGGCGCACGCCCAAGTTCCGGCTCCAGATCTTCAAGCGGCTCCGGCGGTCGCTCTACTGCCCCCAGGAGCTCGTCCACGAGGACAGTCTCCTCATCATCGCGAACCAGGGCGTCGTCGGCGCCCAGGGCTGCATCTACACGTCGGGCATGGCGCTGAATTTGGACTTCTTCCTCCACCGCTACCGCGTCGAGTCGAGCAAGCGCGCGCTGAACTACGTCGAATTCGAGATGCTGTCGAACCCGCACCTGCTGGACATCCTGGCCATCTGCCCGGGGGACCGCATGCCCATCAAGTGGATCCGCGTCTTCTTCGCCATGATCCGCAAGGTCCGCTACGACGCGCGCCTCGCCGAGGACCGGCGGAACAAGGAGAAGGGCAAGCTCGACCGCGCGAACGGCAACTTCTCCGCGACGGCCGCGTCCTTCGGGGACGTCTTCTCCCAGGAGTTCGCGCACGTCCACGACGTCGAGGCCGTCGCGGCGCGGGGCCGCTTCGACGAGAACCGGGGCGCCTACGCCGTCGTCGGCAGCGCGGACGCGCCGGCCGCGCCGCGCTTCGACGAGGGCAAGCCGCCGACGCCCCGGTCCATCACCGTCAAGCCCGCGTCGCCCAAGGCGTCCGCGCGCGTCCAGCCCGAGGGCATGCTCCCCGACGAGGTCCGCGGCGCGAGCCCCGTCGGGGCGGGGGCCGCGCCGCCGGCGCGCCGCGTGTCCAACTTCGTGCTCAACGGCCGCGCGACGCTCAACCTCGACACGGCGCCGCGGCCCCGGCCGCCGGAGCGGACGAACTGGGCCGCGGTCGACGAGGAGCGCACCGCGGCGCGCAAGCTCGCGCGCGTGCTCATGTAAAATGGCGAATTCGGAAATCCTACCTCTAGGTCGCCCCGGGCTCGTGCTCCTCGCCCTCGGTGCAGAGGTGCGCGCGCGCCGCGAGGAGCACGACGCGGTCCACGTCGCAAGACGCGGCCGCGAGGCCGCGCTCGATGTCGAGGCCCCGCGCCGTCGCGCGCGCGACGACCGCGGCGACGCGCGCGTCGAGGGCGTCGGCCGGGACGTCCTCGAGCGACGCGGCCGGGCCGCCGTCGAGCGCGCCGAGCGTCGATCGGACCGCCCGGAGCCACTCGGCGCGGCGCGCGCGGTCCTCGCGCGGCAGCCGCTCGTCGTCGGCGAGGTCCAGCTCCATGAGCAGCACGTCGAGGCTATAGGCGTTTCGGAACGCGGCGACGGCGGCGCCGGCGAAACCGTCGAGCACGTCCACGGAGCAGCTCTCGCCGCGGCAGTCGCGGAAAGACGCCGCGAGGGCGCGCGCCGTGAGGCCGAGGTCCAAATTTGGTCGCAGGGCGCGCGCGCCGAGCGCGGCGATTAGCGGCCACCAGCGCATGGCTGCTAGAAACGCTGGCTGCAGCGGGCGCAAAGACAGCCCATGCTGCGTAGAGCAGTGCAACGTTCGGCCTTGTTGCTGCAGGAGAGCAGCGTATGGGCCCAGCTTTCCCATCGATCTAGCGCCGTCTCCACGCCAGGACACGACCTCTCGAAGAGCTTTAGGCCACACGAAACGACCTGATGAGCGCGCTCCTCGCCGGCACCCTGGCGTCGGTCAAGATCGACGGCTACGCGCTCGCCGACGCGCCGAAAGCGCTCCGCGACGACGCCAAGGTCGTCGGCGCCGCCTGCGCCGAGAGCGGCGGCGCGCTCCAGTTCGCCAGCGAACGGTTGCGCGACGACGCCGCGACGGTGGCCGTCGCCGTCAAGCAGCAGGGCGAAGCCTTGGCGCACGCGAGCGACCGGCTCCGCGACGACGCGGCCACGGTCACGCACGCGGCGTCGTCGAGCGGCTGGGCGCTGCGCCACGCGTCGCCGCGGCTCAGGGACGACCCCGCCGTCGTCGCGCTCGCCGCGGCGCGCGACGGCTCGGCGCTCCGCTTCGCGAGCGGCCGGCTCCGAGGCGACGCGGCGTTCGTGGCGAAAGTGGGCGCCGCGAGCGCGGGCGTGCTCGCGGAAGCCGACGCGTCCCTGCGCGGCGACGCGGCGGTCTGCGCGGCCTGCTGCGCGCGGGACGGCGCGGCGCTCGCGCTCTGCGACGACGCGACGCGGAAGGACCGCGCCGTCGTCCTCGCGGCCGTCAAAAGCCGCGGCGACGCGCTCAAAGACGCGGACCCGGCCTTCCTTAAAGACGCGCCGGTCGTCCTCGCCGCGGCGCGGACCTGGAGCGGCGCGCTCGAGGCCTGCGCGCCGGCGCTCCTCGCGGACGTCGCCTTCGTCGCCGCGGCCGTCGACGTCGACCCCTGGAATCTGCAATTCGCGTCGGACGCGGCCGCCGCGGACGTCGCCCTCGTGAAGCGAGCCGTCGCCAAGGACGGCGACGCGCTCCAGTTCGCCGCGCCGTCGCTCCGGTCCAACGCGGCGCTCGTCGCCGTCGCCGTCGAGTGCACGGGCGGCACGGGCGAGGCGCTCGCGCACGCGCACGAGGACCTGCGGTGCGACGCGGCGCTCGCGCTGAAAGCGGCCAAGGCGCACGCCGCCGCCGTCGCGCACACGCCCCTGCGCGGCGACCGCGCGTTCGCCGCCAAGGCGCTGAAGCAGGACCCGGCGTGCTTCGAGTTCCTCGCGCTCGAGCTCCGCGGCGACCGGAAGCTCGCGGAGGTCGTCGCGAAGCACCCGGGGCTGCTCCGCCACACGCCCCTGCGGAGCGACAAGAAGCTCGTGCTCGCGGCCGTCAAGAAGGACGGCGCCGCGCTGCGCTACGCGTCCGACGACCTGCGCGCGTGCAAGGAGGTCGTCGTCGCGGCCGTGAAGTCCGACGCGGCCGCGCTCGCGCACGTGCTGAACCGGGACGCGCTCTTCAAGGACAAGGACGTCGTCGCCGCCGCGAAGAAGAAGGGCGTCGATCTCAGCGAGGACGACTGAGGCGGGCCCCCGAGATTCGGTGCGGACTAGGTCTAGAGGCGTGTGCCTGGAATTAGAACTCAGGCGCGCGTCTTTTTCGTCTTCTGTCCGTACTTCTTCAGGGCGTCGCGCGTCTCCTTGTTGGAGACGACGTCCCGCGAGACCGCGGCGAGGCCCTTGTTGTCGTGTTCCGGGTGGTCCAGGTTGAAGAGCGTGCCGTGGAGGACGTCGTGCGCTTGCAGGAGGCAGAAGCAGGGCCACGCGCGGTCGAGGGCGAACGCGAACTGGGCGACGGGGATCGCGAACTGCCAGTCAAAGTCCGGGTTCTGCTGGCCCGCCATCCACACGATCGCCTCCGGGAAGCAGGCCGCGGTCTTGTCCTTGTGCATGGGCGACGCGTAGCCGATGGAAAGCATGTACGCGGGCGCGGACATTTTATCGCCGAGGGAGCTGTTGAGGCCCGGGATGCCGAAGTCCTTGCGGAAGGCCAGCCGCATGAGGCCCATGCGCGGCGCGACCGTCGCCTCGAGATTCGACAGCCGCGTGCAGTTCCGGTAGAGAGGGTGCGTGTACGATTTGTCGTCGCGCCAGTTCGAGCCCTTTTTGTGCGCGTAGGTGTGCAGTCGGTTCCGCCCCTCGACCTTCCACCGATTCCGAAAGAAACCCTCGGCGAACATGTCGCCCCAGTGCTTTCCCCAGCGTTTGGTGCTGCCGCGCGGCTGGCCTCGCGGCTTCAAGCGGCCTTCCTCGCGAATGTTGGTTCCCCGGCACGTGGAACTGCAGTACTGCTCGGCACCCGCGCACTGGTCTTCGAAGTCGCAACGCTGGTCACTCTTGCCCTTATTGGAACCGAAGTTTTTGACCATCACCTCCACGTCCCGAGAAAGAAAGAGGCAGATGATCTGCGTCGCGGGCACCTTGTCGGGATCCTTCGACATCGCCTTGAGGCCTTTTGTGTCGGTAGAGACGATGAGCATCGAGTTGCTGGTGACGCGACCGCCGTAGTCTCGCCACTCTTCAGTAGTCACTTGCTCGCGGTTCAGAAACTTCGCCTCGGCGGAAGACTTCCGAAAGTCGACGATGTCGACGACGTCGACGGTACGCAGCAGCTCCGGCACCAAGTGCGGCGCGTTCTCAAACGTCCGCCGCGCCTCCGGGGAAAGTAAATCGAGTTGCTCGTCCGTCGGAGGCAGCCACTCTGCTTTGCAAATGAGCCGCTCGGCTTCCGGCGAGCCCGCGAGGTGAAACGCCAGAGGAGCCGTAAACTTGCGCCGCGGCCGACCCGAAAGTGTGTTCATCTCCTCGCACATCTTGTCCAGGCGGGGCACGAGGTACGCCGCTTCCTCGTCCGCCTCCAAACCGCTCAAAAGGATGTCGTTCTGCGACCGCGCCTGCGACATCATCGCGCCCGACAGCGACTGCGACGCCTGGCTCGCCAACGACAGCGGCGCAGCGTCGATCTGCGACCGGGAGCCCGCGCCGTCCGCCCCCCGCTGCGAGGGCACAAGCTCCACAATCTCCTCGCCGTCGGAGAGGTCGTTGCCGCCGTTGGGATCGTAGTCGTCGTCCGAGTCCGAGGACGACGCGTCGTCGTCCGAGGGCGCGGACCGCTTCTGGCGCGCGGACTTGGCCGCCAGCGACGAGGGCCGCGCGTCGTCGCTCTTGGACGAGACGGACTGGGGCCGCTTCTGAACCGCGGGCGCGGGCGCGGGCGCGCGCGGGCGCCGCTTCCTCGTCGTCGTCGTCGTCGTCGAGCTCATCGAACTTGAGCTCCGCTTCCCCGTCGTCGGCGTCGACGTCGGACGCGGGCCGCTTCGAGCCCGCGGACTTGGCCGCCAGCGACAAAGACCGCGCGTCGTCGCTCTTGGACGAGACGGACTGGGGCCGCGTCTGAATCGCGGGCGCGGGCGCGGGCGCCGGTTGCGGCGCCGCCGCCTTGCGCGCCGCCGCCGCCTGGCGCGCCGCCGCCGCCTCCGCCGCCTTGCGCGCCGCCGCCGCCTCCGCCGCCGGCTGGAGCGTCCACGCCTGGGACGCCACCTTCGGCGCGGCCGGCGCGGACTTGCGGTGCGACGCGAGATTGCACGCCGCGCCGTCGACGACGGGCTTGGGCGACGCCAAGCTCGCGCCGCGGCCGCGGCCGGACTCCGCCGCCCGGCCCCGGTTCGCCGCGGACCCGCTCGTCGCGAGGGGCCGCTGCTGTTTCGGGATCGGCTTGGCCTCCTCGTCCGACTCGTCCGAGCTGCTGCCCGAGCCGTCCAGCTCCTCGTCCGACTCCTCGTCCGAGCCGCTCGAGTCCGCGCCGCCCGCGGCCGCCTTTTTTTGCATGATCGGCTCGTCGTCCGACGACTCCTCGTCCGAGGCCGCGCCGTCCGCGTCGGCGTCGCGCAACGAGTCGAAGTCGGCCTTGCGCGCCGCGTCGGCCTTGCGCGCCTTGAGCTCGAGCGCCGCGGCCGCGCGCGACACGGCCTCGACCGCGTGCGCGGCCATGGCCTTTCGGTCGTCGGCGACGTCGACGTCGTCCATGAAGCACCACGTAGATGTTCGTCCGTAGTTCTCCGACCAGTAGACTTTCCAGTCGCCGTCGGCGCACGGCGCCCACGACGCGCCCACGACGCACAACTTCGGCCGCCCCGCGCCCTCCCAAAGGACCCGCACCGCGGGCCGCCACTCCCCCTCCCAGCGCACCATCTTGTGGCAGACGAGCCCCTCCTCGAGCTCCTCGAGCTCCTCTTTGGAGCACTCGTCGTCCTCTTGCGTGTCGCTTGCGTTGATGTCTTCGACGTACATCTCGGCCAGCTTCTCATCGGTGCCGTCCTCGTATTCAATCGAGTAAACCCACTCGCTCTGAATCGCGTCGTACTCACGGTCCATGACCTGCCCACGCCATTGAACGTCGCCTCCTTTCGCACGGCACAACACCAAATCATCGATGGTGTGTTTCGCGGATGGTATCTTCTTCTGCGCAACAGCGCCACGGCGTTCGCTCCGGCGCACGATCAGGGAACCCTGCGGCGCAGGGTCATCCGTGGGGACCCACTCAAGGTCCTGCGACATGCCGAGCTGCGTGGGCACGCCGTCGTCCATGACTTCCGAAACTGTCGCGGTGCGAAGGTGCGAAGTGGTTATTGATGATGAGGTGGTGGTGGGGTGTGTGGGGGTGTGTGTGATAGTGGTGTATGAGGTATGGGGCGCGGCAAAGGGCGCAGCGCAGCACGCGGTCGACGGCGGTGCTCGTCCTGAAGAGCTCGAGGAACCGTCCGCCTAAACTGGGGTGTTGCAAGTGGAGTTGCCGACATAGTGCAGCGCGCGCCACCTCTCCCACCGCTTCTCAGCGCATCGATGGCTCGAATAATGTACTTACATACTCACGACCGTCGAAACATGGGTTTCTTCTTGAGCGGCGATGTGGGGATGTTCACGAAGGCCGGGGACGCCGCCGGCGTTTGCGGTGTCGCCTGGGCGAGCAGGTCCCGGCTGCTGATTGCCTGCATGCGGAGGTGCGGGTCCTTCAAGTCCCGGGAGCTCATGGGCATGACCGCCGGCAGCAGCACGCGCTCCGAGCGCACGACGTCCTCGGGCTCCGGCTCCGGCTCCGGCTCCGGCGCATCGTCGTCGAGGCCCCGCACGCCGAGGATCGGCGATGTGCTGTCCGCCACGTCGACGTGGTCGACGTCCTGGGCGCGGACGCGCGCCTTGAACACGGCCGCCTCCTCCTCGCGGACGCGCTCGAGCTCCATTTCGAGCGCGTCCGCGTGCCGCTTTCGCGGCTCGCGCACGAGCTTCGCTCCCCGGTCGTCGGCCGTGCCGACCATCGCGCCGTGCATGCGCCCGCCGAGGGCCGTGCGCCCGAGCGTGCGCCGCGCGCGGTAGGGCACCGTCTCCGCCATGCCGAACGGGTAGAAGCCCAACGCCGCCTCGTCGAAGACGCCGCAGCCGCCGGTGCCGTCGTTCGCGCGCCAGCGGTCGAGCTCCGCGGCGCCGTCGAGTTCCTTGCGCGCGGCCCAGGCGTCGGCGTAGGCGCGGCCGCCGACGCTCGACGCGTCGACGAAGGCGTCGCGGTCGTCGTCGCGCTCGATGGCGCCACGCTCCGCGCGCGCGGCCTGCCCGTCTTTCGCGTGGCAGAGCCGGTCGAGCGCGCGCTGGAGCGCGACGAGCATGTAGGGGTCCTTGGCGCGCCAGGCGCTCGGCCAGGGCTCGCGCGTGCTCGTCGCGTAGCGCGCCTCGTTGGCCACGGGCGCGTAGGGATTCACGGCCTGCTTCCTTTTGACGGGCGAGATGCATTCCTGGGCCGCGAGGTGCAGCTTGTCGCGGGGGATGAGCACGCCCTGGGGCATGTAGAGCGGCACGTACCGGCCCGGGCTCGGCGACATGGCTCGAAAACGACCGAGGCTGCCCGAGCTAGGCTAGGAGGAGATCACGGTCGAGGCTGCCTTCGCTGCTGAGCTAGGCTAGGAGGAGATCGGCCATCGTTAAAAACGATCGAGGCTCTCGCAAGCCTGAAACTCCTCGAGCTTTGTTTCCTGCACCGTGCCGTGCTCCTTCCGCTCGTGGGCTGCCTCGCATGGGCGCCGCCGAGAAGGCGTAGAGATGCCCTCCTTCGTCCACGATGCGGACCACAAGAACTTCGAGTACCGCGAGCCGCACGACCGCCTCCAGGACGGCCTCGCGGCGCTGCGGCGCGGCCAATTTGACCGGCCGGTGCTCGGCGTCGACCTGGGGAGCCACGCGTCGCGCGTCGGCGTCGTCGTCGGCGGGCGCGTCGAGCTCTGCGGCGGCGTGCTGCCGTCGCGCGTCGCGCGCGTCGACGGCGCCTGGGTCGTCGGCGCCGCGGCGTCCGCCGCGGCGGACGCGGAGTCGCCCGTCGGGGACCTCGGGACCGAGCCCGCGCCCGCGGCCGCGCCGCCGCCGCCGCCGCCGCCGGAGGCCTTCGACGCCGCGGACGTGATCCGCCCCGTCGAGGAAAGCGAGGCCGCGCCGCCGCCGCCGCCCGCCGACTCCGACTCGGACACGGACGCCACCGACGACGAGCCGCCGCCGCCGCCGCCGCCGGCCGCGCCGCGGACGGCGGCGTCGAAGGCGGCGCTCCTGCTCGGCGCGCTGCGCGGCGCCGCCGGGGACCGCACGGCCTGCAAGCGCGCGCGGTCCTGCGTCGTCGGCGCGCCCGCGACCGCGTCGCGCGCGCGGCGCCTCGCGACGCTCGACGCCGCCGAGGCCGCGGGCCTCGGCGTGCTCCGCGTCGCGTCGGAGCCGCTCCTGATCGCCCTGGCCCACGGCGTCGACGGCGGCAACCCGGAGGCCGTACACCACTGCCTCGTCGTCGACGTCGGCGCGCACTGCGACGTCGCCGTCGTGCGATGCTGCGACGGCGTCGCGGAGCTCGTCGCCGCGCGCCGCGAGGGCGGCTGCGGCGGCGACGGCCTCGACGCGAAACTCTGGGACGCGGCGAAGGCGGGCCTGCGCGGCGCGTGCGCGCCCGCGGCGTGCTCCGACGCCGCCGGCGTCGCATCGGTCCGAAAGGCCCGGGAAGCGCTGGGGCGCCTCGAGGCCGCGGTGCTCGACGTCGCGCCCTGGACCCTGGACCGCGAAGCGCTCGAGGACGCGGGGAGGGAGGTAGCGGCAGACGTCGCGGCCGCCGCGCGGCGCGCGCTCCGCGCCGCGGGTCTCGCGGCCGCGGACTCGGTCGTCTTCGCGGGCGGCGCGGCGTCCGCGCCGGGCCTGCGCGACGCGCTCGCGCCCCTGGGCGCCCTCCGGCCGCCGGGGAAATTCGCGCCCGCGGACGCCGTCGCCGTCGGCGCGACGCGGTTCGCGGAGCGGCTCCTGCGAAAGGACGGCGCGGCGCTCGAGACGGCCTACCTCGACGAGGGCGTCGCCTGCGTCGCGCCCGCCGTGCCGGCGCCGCCGAAACCGGCGCCGGCGCCGACGGCCGCGGACCACACGGCGGCCTACTACAAGAAGTGGGACGCGTTCGACCCGTCGGACTCCGACGACGAGAACACGACGACGCCCGGCATCGACATCCAGACGGGCTCGCCCCGGCCCAAGGCGCGGGAGACGGTCTACGTCGACATGTCCGTGCCGTCGCCGGCGGACGTCGACATCTACCTCGACGAGGGGGAGCGCGTCGCGGGCCGGAAGCCCAGGCCCAAGGGCGAGCCGCCGGAGACGCCGCCGGAGCCGCCGCCGAGGACGACCGGGCGGAGGAAGAAGCCGACGTGGCGGGAGGTGGCGACGCGGCCGTTCTAAAATCTTACTTCGTACTTCGGAGGGGGGCTCAGGCGGCGCTGGACGGGAGGTGGCGACGCGGCCCTTTTACAAAGCATCTCCGGTCTTACTTCGGAGGGGGACTCAGGCGGCGCTGGACGGCCTCGTAGACCGTGAACAGGATCGCGTTGCCCGGCGCGGCGCGCGCGACGGTCAGGGGGCAGCCGCGGTACAGCGCCCGCAGACCGCCGTCGGCGTAGAGCTTCTTCGCGACGTTCGCCAGGGTCGGCGGGACGCCCGCGGGGAGGCCGTGCGTGCCCGCGACGATGGACGACTTGACCGTGTCGACCGGGTACGGCACGGCCCAGTACGCCATGCCCGCGAACGCGCCGGCCGCGCACGTCGCGAGCTCGGACCGTCGTCGGTCCGCGGGCGTCAGCGCGCGCGCCGCGAGCTCGTAGCCCGAGAACCAGGCGACGTTGCCGGGCACTTCGCGCGCGAGCATCGCGCAATGGCCCTTGTAGAGGCCGGCGACGCCTCGCCGCGAGATCGCGTCGGCGACGCACGCGAGCGAGCCGCGCGCGCTCGCGCCCGGGTTCGCGAGGAGGGGCGCGGACTGCATGCGGACCTTCACGTACTCGACGGGCGTAAGCAAGTGCGAGACCGCCACCGCGGAGACGCTCGCCGCGAGGAGCACGCGCGGGAACGGCATGTCGTCGCGCTCGCCGTCGTGGATCAGTCGCGCCGTCGCGTTGAACGACGTGAAGAGGATCGCGTTCTCGCACCCGGACGCGAGGAGCGGCGCGCCGAGGCCGCGATAGAGGGAGGCGACGGTCGTCCGCTGCGCGAGCGCGAGCGCGCCGACCGTGGGGCGAGATGTCTGCATCCGAGTTTTCAACGTGTCCAACGGGTGCTCGAAGACCTTCGCAACGGCGCCGCCGATGGACCCGGCGAGGATGTCGTTACGAGACATGGTTGCGAGCGAGGTTTGCACACGTTCGTGCACTCGTGCAGCCGTGCGACGGTCGCGAGCGCTCGATCACGGCGCACCGCGCCCGAGACAACTGCCAGTTAGTTGAATTAAACAGTTTAGATGTTGAAGACAGACGTCGCACATCCTAGAAGTACTTCTTGAAGTCGTCCTAGCTTGCGTCCTACGGCGGGGTCTCGACGAGCCTTCGACAGACGTCCCGACAAGCTGCCGCAGCACACCAGAGGACCCTACTTAGGCCGCGCCCGCGCGAGGATCGCGGCGGAGCTGTGGGTCAGGTACCAGCTATGCGTCATGAAGACGATCCCCGCGAGCATCATCGCGACGCCCGAAAGCCCGAGCGCGAGGAAGAAGACGCGCTCGTCCGTCGTCTCCGGAATGACCACGCTCGAGGTCTGCGTCGCGTCGCCCACGCCGCCGCCGCCCGCGTCGCGGTCGCCCTCACCGCCGCCGCCGCCGCCGACCGCGTCGCGGTCGCGGTCGCCCTCGCCGCCGCCGCCGCCTGCTCCGCCGTCACCGCGGGCCTCGCCGCCTGCTCCGCCGTCGCCGTGGGGATTCTCGCCGCCTGCTCCGCCGTGGGGATTCCCGCTTCTCTCCGCCGCGTCGTCGTCGTTTTTGAGGCCCGGCCCGTGGCGGTCCGCGGCGTCGCGCCTTTCCGGCGCTAAGAACTCGCCCCGCGCCGTCGCCTCGGCCTCGTTGCGCGCGTAGCGCTTGCGGTCGAAGGGCCCCTTGGACGGCGCGCCCGCCTCGGCCTCGGGCGTCCACCCGCCGAGGTTGTCTTCGCCATGGCACGCGTCCGCGCAATCGTCGAAGATTCGCGCCGCGGCGACGGAGCACCCGTCCAGGGGCGGGCCGTCGAGGGTCCGCGCCGTCGCGTCCATGGTCTGGAGGCACGCGAGCATCGCCTCATCGAAGGGGTACGCGCACGCCTCGATACAATTTAAACACGCGACGGCTTCCGCCGAGTCGTCGCACTTCGCCTCGTCCGCGGCGCAGGCCGCGAGGCAGGCGTCGACGTCGCGGCCGAGGGCCGGCCGGCCCGTCGCCGGGTCCTTCACGGGGACGTCGGGCGGGGCGACGCACTCGAGGTCGCACTTCCGGCGCAGGTCGGCGCAGGAGACGCAGTCGCCCCGCATGTCCTGGGGGGACGCGAGCGGGGCCGCTCCGGCGAGGACGAGGACGGCGAGGCCCCGGGGCATATTGGCCGTGTGGAGGTGTTTTTGTCGACGGACGCCGGCGCGCCTTCCCGTCGCAGCTCGACTCACGCACCACGACTCCTTCAGTCGCCGAATGCCGCAAGCGCACCGTCGTGCCACCGAGCCGGCATCACGAGGGCATCGTCGGCGACCGAGCAGCTCGAGCGCTCGCGCCGCGGAGCCATCAAAGAATACCGCCACCGCCGCGCGTCTCACCGACACCCAATGCTACGACGCCTCGCCCTCGCGCAGACGCGCCGCGCGCACCGCGCGGCGCGCCCGCTCAGCGCGAGCGTGTCCAGCGCCGAGGAGCACGCGCCCTTCGACTTCCCGCCCCCGGCGAAGGACGGCTTCGTGCCCTTCGACGCGAGCGACGCGCTCAACGTCGGCGGGCGCCTCACGGAGGACGAGCAGCTCATCCGCGAGACGGCGCGGTCCTACTGCCAGGAGCAGCTCCTGCCACGCATCGTGGCCGCGAACCGCCACGAGGCGTTCGATCGCGCGATCTTCCGCGAGATGGGCGCGCTCGGCCTGCTGGGCGCGACGATCGACGGCTACGGCTGCGCCGGCGCGTCGTCGAACGCCTACGGCCTCATCGCCAACGAGGTCGAGAAGGTCGACTCCGCGTACCGGTCCGCGCTTTCCGTGCAGTCGTCGCTCGTCATGCACCCGATCCACAAATTCGGCGCGGAAGAAACGAAGGCGCGCCTCCTCCCCCAGCTCGCGGCGGGCGAGCTCGTGGGCTGCTTCGGCCTCACGGAGCCGGACCACGGCAGCGACCCCGACGGCATGAAATCGAAGGCCGAGTTCGACGCGTCGACGGGCGAATACGCGCTCAACCGTGCGAATCTTCAACCCGACTGCAATATTCGCGTACGCGACAGTTTCGACGCGCGCGCTTCGGCCGTGCTTCGAGAGCCATCGATTCGTCCAAGAATCACCCGAATTGACGTCGACGCGGCCGAGCGAGAGCATTTCGACGTTCGGCCCCGACGCTCACCGCCTGATGCGCACGCAGGTGCTCAACGGCTCCAAGCACTGGATCACGAACGCGCCCATCGCCGACGTCCTCGTCGTCTGGGCGAAGCTCGACGGGGACGTGCGCGGCTTCGTGCTCGAGCGGTCGAAGCTCGCGCCGGGCATGCTCGAGACGCCGAAGATCGAGGGCAAGTTCTCGCTCCGCGCGTCGGAGACGGGCTCCATCTTCCTCGCGGACGCGCGCGTCGGCCCCGACGCCATCCTCCCCAAGGCGAAGGGCCTCGGCGCGCCCTTCTCCTGCCTCAACTCGGCGCGCTTCGGCATCGCCTGGGGCGCGCTCCAGGGCAGCACAAGAGAGCGAAATTCCCAACTTCAAAGGCTCATATCTCGGCCGTTTTCCACTCGTTTCGGCTGATTTTTGGACGAGCGATCATCTCTCGGAACGGTCTCGAAGCGTGGATGCTTTTTTCCGGGACGCGCGCGCGCGGAACACTCACGTTGAAGCGACGTTGAATCACTCTTTTCCTGCCCAGGCGCTTTGGGCGCCGCGGAAGCGTGCTACGACGTCGCGCGCCGCTACGTGGGCGAGCGGTCCCTTCTTCCGGCGTCCCATGCGCGGCGGTTTCATGAGAAAAAACACCCTAGGTCCCAGTTCGGCGCGCCGCTCGCGGCGAACCAGCTCATCCAAAAAAAGCTCGCGGACATGGCGACGGAGCTCGCGCTGGGCTACGGCGCCGCGCAGCGCGTCGGCGAGCTCAAGGACGCGGGCCAGATCAACCCCCAGATGCTGAGCCTCGTCAAGCGCAACTCCTGCGGCAAGGCGCTCGACGTCGCGCGCGCGGCGCGCGACATGCTCGGCGGCAACGGCATCCAGGACGAGTACCACGTCATCCGCCACTGCATGAACCTCGAGGCCGTCAACACCTACGAGGGCACCCACGACGTCCACGCCCTCATCCTCGGCCGCGGCATCACGGGCATCCAGGCCTTCGTCCCCTCCGCGGCCGTGCTCCCCTAGGCCCCGGCCGCGCGTTTTAGCTCTCGAGACCCGCGGGCCGCGTCGTCGGCGCCGAGACCCCGGGGCACCTGGAGGCACAGGAACCCCTGGAGAAGCACCAAGTGACACAGGAACGGGGCGATTACACAGTCGGGAGGAGGTCCTAGGGCGCGCCGCGGCCGCGCGGCGCCTCCGGCGCGAGGCGCTGCGCGAACAGCAAACACGCGAGCGCGATGAAGGGGCCCGACCGCCCGTTCTGCGCCGTCCAGGGCTGCGCGACGTCCGGCATCGGCAACGACGATTCGTCGGCGGCGGCGAACCGCCCGAAGGCGCTGGCGCCGCTGCAGAGGAAGGACGCCACGAGGAGCAGGAAGAAGGACGACCGCGGCATGGTCGCGGAGCGGCGCGTCGGCGAGGGAGGCGCGCGGGCGGTGGCGGCGCGGCGAGGCGGGTGGATCGGCACGGCGATCACGAAAGCGACGTTGGATGGCAGCGATGCTGTCAGGTCGGGGCAGCTACTGTCTCAAGTGTCGCTGGACACAAGGTGCCGTTGAGCGCAGTCCGTTACAGTTTTATCGAGCGCGGTAACTGCCGACATCAAGCTTCGGGATGGCACGATGGTGATGGCCTTCGTCGTGCTCCTGTCGGGGCACCTGAGATCTTTGTTGCAATTCGGCACCTTCTACACCCTGCGGGACCATGTCATCCTACCGCTCGACGCGCGCGGCGGCGTCGTGAGCGTCGTCTGCGCCGACAAGAGCGACAAGGCCGACAAGGCCGAGCTCGAGCGGCGCGTCTGGCCGGAGCTCAAGACGCGGCGCGCGACGTTCACCGACCAGATCTCGCAGACGGCGCGGCGCGCGCACTGCGCGCGCGAGGCGCTCGCGCTCGAGGCGTCCGGCGCCCGGCCGTTCTCGCATTTCGTGCACTGCCGCCCGGACGTCGTCTTCGCGCGGCCGCTCGCGGTCGTCTCGCGCGCGGCGATCACGACGCGCGCGCGGTCCGTCTCCGGCGTCGGCGCCGTCGACGGCGACGCGCTCACGTCCGGCGGCTGCGGCCCCTGCGACGGCTTCTTCGGCTCGACCGCGAGCGCGAACGACGGCCGCCCGTGCCTTTTGCTGACGGACCAGTTCGCCGTCGTGCCCCGGACCTTCGTGCGCGCCTACTTTGGCGCGACGCCGCCGCCGCTCCCGCCGCGGCCGGGCCTCGGCGGCCTCGTCGACGCGCTCGCGGGCGGCGGGCCCCGGAGCGGCGGCGACGACTGTCCGCTGGAACTGGCGCTCGACGCGTCGACGCTGGAGCGGTGCCCCTGCGCGACCATGTACGCCGAGGGCGCGCTGACGACGCGCGTCGCGGCCGCGGCGCCGCGGATCTGCCTCGCGCCGCTGCGCTACGACCTCGACGACCGGCGGAGCCGCGACATGTCGCTGCGGCGCTACGAGTCGAAACGGAGGCGGATCCCGCGGGGCGCCTGGGAGGTCGCGCGGAACGTGAGCTGCTAATTAGGAGGGGTCGTCGAGGCCGCGGAGGACGAAGACGAACGCGAGGGCCGCGGCGCCGCCGTGGACGCAGGCGACGTGCGTCCACGTCGCGCGGCGGTAGGCCGCGTCGCGCGCCGCGGTGCCCGGGCGCGTGAACGACGACGACGCGCGGTCGCGCACCTCCCGGTAGTAGCGCGTCTCGTTGTAGGCGAAGGCCGCGGCGACGGCGGCGAGCGACGCCCACCACGCGGCCGTCCAGGCCGGCGACCGCGCGCGCGCCGTCGCGAGGTAGGACCCGTACGCGGCCGTCGCGGCGACGGCGAGCAGGTCCGCGGCGTGGCGCCAGCTCGTCACGCGCGGCCTGCGCCAGTGGTTCACGGACGTGCCGTAGAGGCCGAGCGCGACGGCCGCCAGGACCTCGTAGCCCCGCACGAAGCTGACCACGGCGAGCGCGAGGAAGCAGTGGGCCGAGGCGACGGCGGGCCGGGCGATGCGGTCGGGGATGACGACGTCGGCGTCGAAGTGCTGCGCGTAGTCGTGTTCCGGCTTCGCGGCGTCGACGGGCGTCGCGGCGGCGCCGTACTCGAGGTCGACGTCGGTCGCGTCCATTAAGGGCGCAAATCGTGCGCCATAAGCATCATACAAGGGCGCAAATCGTGCGCCGTAAGCATCATACAGGGGTACAAACCGGGCGCCATAAGCATCATGCAAATCTGCGCACTGTGGCAAAAAGAAATCTGCAACGTGCAGCTATGTTTGACCCTCTCTGTGCTGCCCAAAAACTGAAACGACGACGCTGCGTGCTCTGGCAACATCTTCCGCCGCGCGCGCGGCGCGTCGGCCGGCCTGAGCTCTCCGCGGCGCCGGACCCGCGGCGCGGCCGCGCCCCGCGCCGGCGCGGCGGTTTCGCGCGACCGCTCCGCTTCCTAAACACAAAAGACACGAAACGAGATGGAGAGCAACCGCTACACGGTCAGTGGGCCTGTGCGCCAGTCGGCGCTCATGCGCCCGTCGATGATCAAGCCCGAGGTGAACTCGACGAAGATGAACCACGAGGTCATCGACACGCAGAACACGGAGCAGGACCACCGCAAGTTCCTCGAGACGGGCGACGACGCTTTATATAGCGCGGAGAACATGCGGAAGCGCGCGGCGTTAAAGGAGGACCCCCAGATCCGCGCCTGGATCACCATGTTCTTCCGCACGTTCTCCATGCAGACCAAGCCCTGGTGCGCGGGGCACAAGAACGTGACGCGGTACCAGGTCTTCGCCTTCGAATTGCTATGCTGCAAAGCGCTGTTCCCGCCGGCGGCGTTCAACATGGAGGAGGCGCTCTGCTCCGTGGAGGAGGACCTCCAGCGCGATCTGGGCGACCGCGAGCAGATGTCCTTCCACGAATTCTCGGAGTCGCTCTTCGAGATCGTCGACATGTGGACGCTGACGTGCGAGAAGGACGAGTACCTCATCTTTCTGAGGAACCTGTACCTGCGCATCTCCGAGCCGTCGATCACGGGGTCGCGCCAGTTCCGGCGCGTCGACGCCGTCGTCTCCGTGGAGACGCCGGACCTGACGGCGATCCTGAAGGAGGGCGAGGTGCTCAAGGCGGACCGCGAGCTCGACGACACGGAGATCCAGCAGATGAACGACGACTTCGAGTCGAGCCGCCAGAGCGACATCGAGCTGGGCATCGCGCCGCGGGGCTCGGGGCTCGAGGCGCAGGCCAGCGAGGAGGCCGCGCGGCCGAGCCGGCGCACCGTCGCGCCGGGCGGCGGGCGGCGGCGCACGTCCGTCGCGCGGCTGTCCGCGCAGGCCCAGCGGCGGTCCTCCGTGGCGGCGACGCGCGAGATGGCGCGGGCGCGCAAGCGGAGCCGCCAGGTCACGCTCGTGGAGCCGAGCCACAGCAGCGACGAGGACGAGACGGACGACGACGCGTCGTCGTCGCGGCACGCGTCGCCCCGCGGCGGCAAGCGCCCCGTCGGCGGCCGCGACCCGACGCTCGCGCGGAACAACGCGCGGGGCAAGTACCAGGGCGCGAGCGAGCCCATCTGGCGCGCGCCGGGCCGCCGCAACGACAGCCACGAGGGCGAGTACGACGGCTACGACGGCGACGGCCGCGCGCCGAAGAAGAAGAAGGACGGCACGAACATGTGGCTCGTCGGCGGCGTCATGCGCACGCGGAACACGGGCGTCCTGCGCTACCTCGGGCCCTCCGACGGCCACACGCTGCCCCAGGACGCGCTTTCCCGGGGGGGTTCGGCGGAGCGCGCGAACAACCGGTGGCTCGTGTCCACGGGCGGCTCCGGCGGGCGCGGCGCGGCGTCCGAGGTCATGGACTGGGGGCCCTACGACGGCGGCGGCCAGCGCGCGCCGCGGCCCTGGGACCGGCGCTGGTCCGACGGCCGCCGCGGGCGGCCGAGCGACGGCGTCGCCGAGGCGGTGGGCAAGGGCGGCCGGAGGAAGAAGGAGAAGGCCATCCCGCGGACGGCGGCGTGGCTCTTCCACATGGACCAGGCGTCCTGGGGCGGCGACGCGTCGTCGCTGGACGCGGACTCGTTCGACGAATTCGGGTCCGTCGAATCGCTCGGGTCGCACTACGTCATGGTCGCCGCGGAGCGCGCGACGTCGGCCGCCGACGGCCTCTTCCACATCGGCGTCTCCGCGCCGGGGTCTGCCGTGGCCACCGCGGGGCCCCACAGCCGGCCGGGGCGGGATTCGCTGTCGTCCGGCGCGTCCTACGTGTCCGAGCTCACGCAGGTCCCCGCGACGCCCCGGCGCCTCCTCGACGAGGAGCGCCGGCCTCTGCCGAAGCTCGCGCCGGGCCGCGTGCCCGGCGGCAAGCGCGCGTCCTGGGCGGCCTACGCGCCGGCCGTCGCGGAGCCGTCGCGCGTGTCGTCGCGCCTCGCGCCGCGGCCGCGGCCGCCGCCGCGGCCGCCCGCGCCGCCGGGCGAGGCGCCGGCGCCCGAGGCGCCGGAGCGGCCGGAGACGGAGCCCGAGGCCGCCGCGCCGGCGCCCGCGGCGCCGCCGGTCAAGGTCGAGGTCCGCCGCGCCGCGGCGACGGCGCCCGTCGAGAGCCGCGTCGTCGTGGGCTTGGACGCGTCGACGACGCTGACGGGCGGCTCGGTCACGTCCGCCGGCCGGCCCGGGCGCCAGCTCAGCGCGCTCCAGCGGCGCGCCGTCGCGCGCGACGGCTTCGGCGTCGCGCGGCGCGCGAAGAAGCGGCCCGGCGCGAACCGCAACGTCGCGTCGCTGTCGTCGCCGAAGCGCAAGAACGGCGCGCCGCCCCTCGACGCGCCCGACGCGCTCTACGCGCCCGCGCCGCCCGTGGTGTCGGCGACGCAGCCGAAGCGGTCGCTCCGGGAGCTCGCGGCGCGCGCGGGCGCGGAGGGCCCGAGGCGCGGCGCGCCGCGGCGCTTCCCGGACCCCGTCCTCGAGGCGCGCATCTGCCGGGGGTCGCCGCCCCTCGCGTCGGCGCGCCAGCTCGTGCCCGGCGACCCGGGGTCCCTCACCCTGTCGCCGTCGGCCGCGGGGTCGCTCAACCTGTCGCCGTCGCCGCCGAATTCGCCGCGGAAGCGCGCGCCGAACCGCGCGGTCCGCGTCGTCGAGGTCGGCGCGGACCCGCGCGGCGCCGCGTCGCGTAGCTACTAAGGGGACTCGCCTTAGAAGTCGAGGTCCTCGGCGTCGAGGGCGACGGAGTTCGCGACGATGTACTCCTTCCGCTCGGCGACGGAGTCGCCCATGAGGAGCGTGATGACCTTGTCGGCCTTGGCGGCGTCGTCGACGACGACCTGCTGCATCTTGCGCGCCGTCGGGTCCATGGTCGTCGCCCAGAGCTGGTTCGGCATCATCTCGCCCAGACCCTTGAAGCGCTGGATCGTGGCCTTGCCGTCGCCCGCGAGCGCGGCCTCCAAATCGTCGTCGGACCAGCAGTACGTGTCCTTGCGGCCCCGCGACACCTTGTAGAGGGGCGGGCAGGCGATGAAGACGTGGCCGTCCTCGATGAGCGACCGCTGGTAGCGGTAGAAGAACGTGAGGATGAGCGCGCGGATGTGCGCGCCGTCGACGTCCGCGTCGGTCATGATGACGATGCGGTGGTAGCGCAGGTTGTCGCGGTTGAACTCCTCGCCGCGGACGCCCAGGCCCAGCGCGCTGATGAGCGCCTGGAGCTCCGCGTTGAGGTAGATGCGCTCGGGCGCGCACTTCTCGACGTTCAAGATCTTCCCCCGGAGCCTGTGTGGCATTCAAATCTTCAACTCGACTTCAATGTGAGCGTACGCGACAAGTGCGACGCAACCTCTTCGGCCGTGCTTCGAGAACTCGATGAGAGCCATCGATTCGTCCAAAAATCAGCCGAATCGACTTCGATGTGATCGAGCTAGATAATTCTGAAGTTTGGTCAGGACCACCCAAACCAGTGGTTGCATTCCACACAGCCCGGAGCGGGAGGATGGCCTGCGACTCGCGGTCGCGGCCCTGCTTGGCCGAGCCCGCGGCGGAGTCGCCCTCGACGATGAAGATCTCCGACAAGGCCGCGTCGCGGAGGCTGCAGTCCGCGAGCTTGCCCGGGAGCACCGTCGTCGCGAGCAAGCTCTTGCGCCGCACGAGGTCCCGCGCGGCCTTGGCGGCGCCCGCGGCCTTCTGGGCCGCGAGCGCCTTGTCGACGATGGCCTTGAGCGCCTGCGGGTGCCACTCGAAGAGCTGCTGGAGCGCGGCGCCGACGACGGCGTCGACGACCTGGCGGACGCCCGGGCTGCCGAGCCGCGTCTTCGTCTGGCCCTCGAACTCGGGCTCGGGCACGTTGACGAGGAGCACGGCCGTGAGGCCCTCGCGGACGTACTCGCCGGGCACGTAGGCGTTGTCGCTCTTGCCGCTCGGCGACCGCTTCGCCGCGGCGTTGACGCTGCGCGCGACGACGGACCGCAACCCGTCGACGTGCGTGCCGCCGTCGGCCGTGCGGATGCCGTTGGCGAAGGACACCGTGACCTCCGCGTAGGCGTCGGAGGACCAGCGCAGCGCGCACTCGACCTCGACGCCGTCCTTCGTGCCCCTCGCGACGAACGCCTCCTTCGTGTGCTTGCCCTTGGTCACGGACGGCCCCAGGGCCGCGTGGAGCGGCGTCTTCTCCGACGTGAGGAAGTCGGCGTACTCGGAGATGCCGCCGTCGTGGCGGAAGACGTCGACGCGCGGGCCGCCGTCGCCCTTCTTCTTCTTCTTTTTCGGTTCCCGGAAGTCCGTGAGCGACAGTTCCACCCCGGCGTTGAGGAAGGCGAGCTCGTCCATGCGCGCGGCGAGCACGTCGTAGTCGAAGACCGTCTTCTCGAAGATGTCGCCGTCGGGGCTGAAGACGACGCGCGTGCCCGTCGCCGCGCCCGGCGCGGCGTCGACTCTGGTCATGTCGCCCGTCGGCGTCCCGCGAGAAAACGCCATGGACGCCACGGACCCGTCGCGCGTGACCTCGACGTCGAGCTGGTGGGACAGCGCGTTGACGACGCTCAGACCGACGCCGTGCAGACCGCCGGACACGCGGTAGCCGCTCTCCGCGCCGCCGAACTTGCCGCCGGCGTGGAGCACGCAGAGCACGGTCTCCAGCGCCGACTTGCCCGTCTGCGGGTGCAGGTCGCAGGGGATGCCCCGGCCGTCGTCGCCGACGGCGCAGGACCCGTCCGCGCGGAGCTCGACGGCCACCTTCGTCGCGTGGCCGGCCATGACCTCGTCGATGCTGTTGTCCAAGATCTCGAAGCAGAGGTGGTGCAGGCCCTTGGGGCCCGTGGACCCGATGTACATGCCCGGCCGCTTCCGCACGGCCTCGAGGCCCTCGAGGACCGTGATCTGGCCCGCGCCGTAGGCGCCCGTCGTCGCCTCGTAGAGGCGCGTGGTCGTGCGCGTCGCGGCCGAGGACCGCGGCGCGCTCAGGCCGCCGGCGCGCCGCAGAACGCGTGCGAACGTCAACAGCATGATAAGGCCTCGGCGCATCGCTGGGGCGCAGCGGCGGGGGCGTCGAGCAAGCGAACTACTGCGTCGAGCGCGCGAACTACTGCGCCTCGCAGCAACACATGCTCTTCCACTCGCTGGCGCAGTTCAAGGCAACGTCGAGAAGGGGGCCTCAACGTCAGCCTCGGTGCACCCAGCGCGCACCCATGTATAGCTGCTGAGTCCCATCCCATGGCGCGCGTCGCGCCCGGCGACGCGGCACCCGCAACAACGCGACGACGCGACGTCACGGCGAGCCTCGTGCGCGCCGCGGCCGCGCCGGCGGTGGCCATGAACCGCTGCTTCGCCGCGGGCTGCCGCGGCGGCGTCCGATTCGAGGGCAGCCCGCGCCGCTACGTCTTGGCCGCGTGCTGCAACGGCACCGGCCACGTGACGCAGGCGAAGGCCGTCGCCGACTGTTTGAGCGAGCTGGGCTACGAGTGCGCGGGCGTCATTTTGGAGGCGGGCCTCTCGGACAAACTCCGGCGCGAGGTCTTCGAGCCCATGGGCGCGCCGACGCTCGTGCTCGCGGGCGTCCAGCTCGTCGACGCAAGGGGCGCGATAGGATTCGGCGCGCTCTTCTCCCGCGGCGCCGGGCTCACGGCGCGGCTCCCGCGCGCGGCCCGCGAGTGCCGCGCCTTCGTGCGCGCGGCCGACGCGGGCTTCCTGGTCAGCTGCTGGCACTACTCGCTCGCGCTGCTCCTGTCCACGGCGCCGGCGGCGCGGAAGCGAGTCGTCCACGTCGCGCCGCAGTTCGCGCGCGCGCGCGACGCCATGCCGCCGTCGACGGGGCTCCGGGAGAGCCTCTGGCGCGGGGGGCTCCTCGCGCTGCGCGACGTCTTCGCGTCGACGGGCGCGTGCGTCGGCGTCGGCGACGACGGCGGCCTGCCGCCGCTGCTGGACCCGCCGCCGGCCTGGGCGGGGCCGCCCGACGGCAAGAAGCTCATCCTGTGCTACTTCCTGAGCGCGGGCGCGGTCGCGGCGCTCTCGGACGCCGTCGCGGGCCGGGACGACGCGGTCTTCCACGTCTTCTCGGACCCCGTGTCCGACCGCCCGCACGTCGTCGCCCACGCGAAGAGCCGGGCGCTCTTCCGGGAATTTTTTGAAAAATGCGACGGCGTCATCTGCAGCGCGGGCAACGAGACGGTCTGGGAGGCCGTCTGCCGCGGCGTCCGCGTCGTCGCGGTGCCGACGCGCGGCCACGCGGAGCAGGTGCTCAACGCGCACGCCCACGCGGCCCGGTACCCGGCGCTCGTCCGCGCGGCGGCGACGCTCACGGGCGCCGACGTCGAGTGGGTCGTCGCGGGGCCCGGCGACGGCGCGCGCGCCGCGTCCGCGGAGCTCCGCGCGGCCGTCGCCACGCGCGCGGCGGCCGTCCGCGCGGTCCTGCCCGCGCCGTCGTAAATTAGGGGAAGCACGCGAGGCGCCGGGGGCACAGGTCCGCGGCGCCGTCGAAGATGGCCGTCGGCCTCGAGGGCCGCGAGAAGTGGCGGAGCCGCGCCTCGGTCGTCGGCGCGTCGCGCGACGCGCACGGCGCGCCGGCGCAGGCGCCGCCGGGGACGAAGTGGACGTTCGCTCGTCCGACGCGGCCCGCGCGCGCGAGGTGCTTCCGTCGTCCGTGGTTCCGCGGGCAGCGCGCGCAGTCGGCGCAGCGGCGCGCGTCGCAGAAGGGCGCCCAGTCCGCGCAGGGCGCCGCCGCGGCGTCGGTGCAGGGCACGGGCGCCTCGAGGGCCGAGCCGAAGGTGACGACGTCCAGGCGCGCCGCGGCCGCCGCGGCCGCGACATCACGGAGCGAGCCGCGTCCCGGGAGCGCGAGGAGCTCGTCGAGGTCGACGCTCAGGACCCAGCCGGCGCCGGCGGCCGCGCTCCGCAGGAGGCAGTCGTTGAGCACGAAGTTCTGGCCCCAGTACATGATGGACCGGTTCTCCGAGAATTGGCACCGCGCGCCGTGGCGCCGGCCGGGAGTCCGCGTCGTCCGCGCGGCGCAGCTTCGGAGCCAGGCGACGTGGACGAGCTCGACGTCGCCGCCGAGGGCCGGGATCGGCGCCGGCGGGGCCGCCGCGTAGAGCACGACGCGGGCCGCGCCGAGGGCCCGGTAGTGGTCGAGGAACGCGGAAGTCCATCGGAGGCCCCGGGCCGTCGCCAGGTAGTCGCCGTAGACCGTGGGCACGCAGACGGCGACGGCCGTGCCGTTCGTCGCGGTCGGCGCCCCGCAGTGCTCCACGAAGACCTCGTCGGTGTTGCCGAGCTCGCCGTGGGCGTCGCCGACGCGGCTCGCGGCGCAGCCCGACCGCCGCCGCCGCGCGCGCCAGTCGGCGAGCGTCGCCGCCGCCACCGTCGCGGTGCGGCCGCCGGGGAACGCGTAGGTCGCCTCCCGCTCGAGCACGGAGACGCGGCCCGCGGCGGCCAGGGCCGCGACGAGCCCGACGCGCATCCCATCGATCGATTCGATCTACGGTGAAGTTTCAACTCGAACATCTTTTAGCGCGGGGGCGGCTCGTCGGCAAGCATGAGCTCGGCCATCCTGAACCCGTTGGACGGGCGGTCCCGCGAGGCCTACCGGCGGGAGACGCAGCTCACGGCGCAGCGCGCGCGCGCGAGCCTCGCGGCGCCGCGCGTCGCCGAGCTCGACGACGAGACCCTGGACATGAGCGACTTCAACGCCTGGACCGACGCGGGCCAGCGGCGCAAGGCCGTCGACGTCGGCGTCAAGGACAGGGACCGGGACCTGCGCCTCGCGCTCGGCGAGGCGGGCGTGCGCCACATGGAGTCCGTGCGCCACGTGTCCGGCGCGCTCCACGCCGTCGTCGTGTTGCTCGCGTCCCAGCTCCGCGCGACGAACGCGCGCGTCGCGGAGCTCGAGGCGTCGACGAGGGGCAACCACGAGGCCCTCGACAGCCGCGTCGCCAAGGTCGCGGAGAACCTCGACATCCTCGCGGCCAACGTCTCGGGCATGGACGTCGTCTCCGAGGAGGAGCAGGCGCGGCTCGACGCGGAAGAAAACGAGAAGATGGAGCGGGCCATCGCGCGCGCGCAGAAACAGCGCCTGGCGAACGAGGCCGACGCCGCCGCGGCCAAGGAGGCCGCCGAGGCCGCCATGGTCGCGTTGGGCCTGGTCGTGGCGACGTCCCACAGCCGGCCGACGTCCGCGACGAAGGACGGCCGCATTCTGGTGGAGGAGTCGCTGCTCATGGAGGAGGACCCCAAGGCCCACGCCCTGGTTTCCCTCCGGGACGCGGCGCGCAAGGTCGGCAAGGAGCGCGTCGCCAAGACCCGGGAGGACGACCGCGCGGCCGCGGAGGCCGCGGCCGCCGCCGCGGCCCGCGCCGAGCGCGACCGCGAGCAGAGGGCGCTCAACGACCGCATGGAGGCCCTCGCCGCCGCCGAGCGCCTCGCGGCGGCGCGCCAGGAGGCCCTCGACGCCGCGGAGCACGAGCTCGGCCGCAAGCTCGACGACGTGTCCAAGGAGGTCATCCTCCAGCGCGTCAAAAGAGAGCGAAATTCCCACCTTCAAAGGCTCATATCTCGGCCGTTTTCCACTCGTTTTGGCTAATTCTTGGACGAGCGATCATCTCTCGGAACGATCTCGAAGCGTGGATGCTTTTCCCGGAACGCGCGCGCGCGGAACACTCACGTTGAAGCGACGTTGAATCACCCTTTTGCTGCCCAGGTCATCCTCCAGCGCGTCAAGCTCGAGGAGGTCGCGCGCGAGCACGACCGCAAGCGCGACGAGGAGCGCGCGGCGGCGCTCGCCGCCGAGGCTTCCGCGCGCGCGAAGCGGCGCTGGCACTGGGCGCTCTGGAAGCTCAAGATGCGGCGCTTCATGACCAAGGGCTTCTCGCTCACGCGCGGCAAAGTGACGAAGCAGATGACGCTCGCGAACCGCCTCGCCGAAGTGGAAAAGAAGCTCGAGCAGGCCCAGTGGGAGACGATCAAATTGCGGTCCGCGACGGAGCAGCTCGGCGTCGTCAAGGAGGTGCAGAAGGACCTCGCCAAGGAGTCGCGGGAGCGCGAGGCCGCGGACGGCGCGCTCCGCGACCGCCTCGACCGCGACGCCGACGAGACGCGGAACAAGATGGAGCAGCTGCGGAGCCGCGTCGGCGGCGTCGAGCTCGGCGTCAACACGCTCCAGGACGCGCCGACGCCGCGCACGGCCATCCGCGAGCGGAACAAGCGCGACCTCGCGGAGGCGCTCAAGGTCGTGCGGCCGCTCCTCCGCGACGCGCTCCGCGAGCTGCCCGGCGGCAGGACGCGCAAGAAGGCCGACGACGCCGCGGCCATCAACGACGCCATCGACGGCGCGGTCGCGGGCGTCGGCGACGCGGTCCGCGGCCTCGAGGCGTCGCGCGCGGCGCGCGACGCGTGCTACGTGCTCCAGCAGCCGCTCGCCTTCGACGACACGGAGGACGTCGAGGCCCACCTCGGGGGCGCGGGTCTGGCCCTCGAGGCCGTTCTGGCGTCGCCGGCCGCGCGGCCGCTCGAACGGACGCCGACGGACGACGGCACGACGTCCGTCGCGGCCCTCTGCCGCCGCGCGTCCGAGGCGCTGGGCGTCGCGTTAAGCCACACGGCGGACGCGTCCCGCGCGCGGCTCCGCGAGGCGCGGGCGAAGCGCGAGCTCGCGCGCGAGGTGAAGCGCGGCGACGGCTTCGCGGGCGTCATCGACGACGTGCACCGGCGCGCGTTGGATTTTGACGAGACGGCCATGTCGCTCAAGGTCCACCTGAGCAACGTGCCCCAGGACCTCCTCGAGGACGAGGCCTGGCTCCTGGGCGCGCGCGCGGCGCTCGGCGTCGACGAGAAAAGCCGGCGCGACGACGCGTCGACGACGACGCCCGAGGGCTTCGCGCGGGGCCACGCGGCGGCGGCCGTGGAGCAGCTCCGCGCCGAGCAGGGCAGGCTCGTCGACGACGTCCAGTACATGAAGGTCGTGCTCGGCGACCACCCGTCGAAAGCGGAAGTCGCGGACGCGATCAAGCCGCTGA